CCTCCTCCCAAACCTAGCCTCCGCAGGCACTTGGAGGCCCTTTACACATATACCTATACCCCCCCCCCCCTAAACAAAACTTCTGGATCCGCCCCTGCTACCCATTTGTAAGACTGTGCTATCCATTTACAAGACTGCGCTACACATTCAGGGCCGCCCAGAACGACCATAGGGTCCGGGGCAGATTTGCCGCCCGGCCCCAACAAGGGAGAGACAACTGTCTGAAGATGACAAGATGTTTTCCTTCGACGTTCTACGATATTATGGATAGTCTATTTAGTTATATTAAAGCAAAAATATCCCTGGTTAGTTTAATCGTGAAGGAAATAAGACTTTTTTTAAATAGTAAAAAAAATAGACTAGCAGACTGGGCCCCTGTTGGGCCCGGGCACCTGGGCACTTGTCCCGTAAGCCCCGGCCTCTCGGCGCCACTGAAAAATTGAATTTTGAAAAACTCATTTGAAAAACTGCGCTACCCATTTGAAAAACTGCGCTACCCAATTGAAAAACTACGATACCTATTTTGAAAAACTGTGCTACCCATTTGAACAGTGGCGTAGAAAAGTATTTTTCATTGGGGGGGGGGATGATTGGCGTGTTAGCCAGTGTCGTAACAGGCGCGGGGGGGACTGCCCCTCCCCTGACGGTTTTTACCGGGCTGACCAAACCGTCGTACCGGGCTGGGTAATTAAGAGAAAAGAAAGAGGGGAGAGGAAGGGAAAGAGAAAGAAAGGAAAAAGAAAAGGAAAGAAAAAGAGAAGAGAAAAATAAAGACAAGAATAAGAAGTAAGATATCATAAATACCAGACTCACAACACCCTGCAACCCCTTCTCCATTTCAAAAACTGTCATAACTCCTTTCATCTATGCTGCCCGATGGCGTAACCACTGGGGGACAAGGGGAAAATATCTATCTTTGAAAAATCTTCCACACCCCTTTATAAATGCCTTTTTCATCCCCTGAAAGAGCCTAAAAACCTCAAATTTCGCGCGCATTTCTTGTTAACATGGGCCAATTTCCTCTAAAAATTGCACATTTTAGGGAGTTTTGATCAATTCCAACAAGGGGAAAATATCCATCTTTGGAAAATCTTTCCCAACCCCTTGACAAATGCATCCTCTGAAAGTGCCTAAAATTCTCAAATTCTTTGCGCGCATTTCTTGTTACGGTAGGCCAATTTCCTCTATAAATTGCACATTTTAGGGAGTTTTCATCAATTCCGACGAAATTAGAATTAAAAACACAAAAATATTTTGCGCCCTTCACCCCACCTTCTATTTCTCCTGCTTTACTGTAGGTCCCTAGACAATACTCAAATGAATGAAAATTTAAATAGGATATTACAAATTATGGATTTTAGAAATCCATTAAAAGAGGACATCAAAAATGCTAATTTGTCAGAGCTTTCAGAAGATTCGCCTCAGTCTCGCGGGGATCCCTAGGCAGTCGCCCATTGTAAGGTCCACTTCGGTTGCAAAACCTCCCCATCGAAAATCCTACCTACGGGTCTGTATAATCTAATTAAATAATGATAAGTTTCGAAAACTGAATACAGGTCTCCCTCAAATTAAAGAACCCTCCAATTAAAGACCACCTGCAATTAAAGACCATTTTCTGTGGTCCCTTAGCCTTATTCTTATTATTCTATCAAGAGACCAAAGCTACCAAAGACCATGCAAATCCCGCTCCCAAAAGTGGTCTTTAATTGAAGGAAGGTAGACCAAAATGGCATCTTATGGCCACCGTATACATTTTGTGTAGGCCTATAAACATAACTCATTAATTATTAGCCCTAGTGGCGATTGCAGTGGCATGTTGTCCGTAGCTTTTGACTGCGTTCATTAAAAATATGTTTAAAAATCATTATTTTCGTACTTATTCATTTATACAATCATTCCTTAGTCAAAATAAAATGTATAGTCTAATACCTTCCTCATTTCCGTGGTATCGGGACAACACTAAGGTCTATCTCAGACGAACTACTGCACTCCTATAAAAATAATTTTTCAAGTAGTCTTCCATCCTTAAATGTTATTTTACTCTGATGTTATTATTATGTACGGTAGTAAGAGATATACTGATTGTATTTTAAACCAATTTCATTTTAAATGTCAACCCACATTTTAATATTTGTATCATCAGCAATTCAGCCATTTCCACTGAACATTGTGTCTTAATGTCAATAGTTAGTTCTTACGTTCATTTTCCATTATTATATAAATGCATTTCTGATATCAAACGATATATAAAATTCTTATTATCGTTCTAAAAACATTATAATTAAAAAACAAACAAACCAAAAAAAAAAAAAAAAAAAAAAACAGTAGTTCGCAAGAACACACACCATGTTTCATATTGTAAATTTCATCTTGTGCATTGCTTTTCTTTTTTTTTCTCAACACTACCCGGCATGTTATGTGAACCACCGATTTGCTACATAAGATATGTACTTTACTTTAAGTGAGCTTGTATATAAGTGGCATTGAAAGACAGGCATCTTAGGCTTATTCACCAAGTTCCTCATCATCACCACCACCACTACCTCCACCGCGTACAGTTCTATTTGTATTTCGCTTCATCATATTCTTGAGGTGAGGATTCAAATCCGTAATGCTGGAGGTAACACTCTCACATATGTAAGATAAATCAAGCAACAAAATGTAACCATTACCAAAGTTGCATTCGTCTAATTTACCAACACGTCTGCAAATTCCGCCATGGCCGGTGACATTACCACGAACCATGTCGAAAGCAATCTTTTTCCTCTTACGGAAAGTTTGCACTTTTTCATTAGCAACACATGTTTTATATACAAATGACGTCATGTTACGGAACGCAGATAAGTCGTCTTCAAATCTTGGACCATAGTCCTTTATAAGTTTATGTAAACGCCCGAGAAAGTGAGAGTATATTTTCGTGTCTATCCAATTCCACTTTGATATGTTTTTACGAATGTTCACATTTAACGTAGCGCGCGAACTTCTCACGTTTCGAGGCAAATACAAAATGTCTTTAAATTCCCAACAAAGCTTTTTCTTCAGTAATAACAATGATTCGTCAAAATATTCTGTTATCATTACTAGATCAAGTTCATTATCCAATCGTTTAATCGTATAATCAACAACAAAACTATTTGGACATTTCGCAGGATCAACGCCCAAATCCCAAATCTGACTATTACGAGAAATTAAGCGCTGAGATCTTTTCAGTGGAGTCCAATATTTAAGTGGATCTTTAAAGAAAACCTGTAATCTCTGTGTTTTATTTAACGAACTGTCTCTTATAGCGGCTGCCCCAACATTAAAAAAATCAAAAGCAGATTCGAACTGAGAGACCGGGTCTCGTAATAAAGTCACATAAATCGAGCCATTTTCCATAAACGAGTCATAAACCGGCCTATTATATAGAGCATGTAGCGCAAAAACATTGTACTTATAATTTTTATAATCTCCTTGTTTGACGCCCATCGGGGGTACGAAGTACTTCTTGGAATTAAAATCAAAATTCACATTTGCAAAGTGAAAATTTTTGTATTCTCCTTTTTTAATAACCACATTTAGTTTGTTGTCGAAAGCATATTGTTCAATTATTCGGGCTAGCGTTGTTCCGCCTGTTTTGTGAGTTTTCACAAACACGATGTTTTTCCTCGGAGTGCAACGTCGTAGGCTTACGGGCTGTGTTACCATATTCCTAATACAGTTATGTAAAAGCAATTTGTGTTAATGAATAAACAATAGTAAAAGTAGCACCTTAAAAAAAGAACACAAGCTTTCACAGGCATTCAATCTTCCAATAATAAAGAAAGATAAACAATTCAATATAAAAATTTAAAACAAAGTATCAATTTGGTTTAATATAAGAAACGGTAAATAAATAAGCAAGACATCTATAATAAACAAAAACTCAGCTTTAGGCTTATCGGACCATACGCTTATTTGGACATCTTTCAGAAAAATTCTAACAGGAAACATCGTAAATAGGCTATGCTAAACCCCGTTTGGCTATGAAACATGAAGCCTCGTAATAAAATATATACAATAATATGTTCCGTGGAAAAGTGCAGCAACTTTTTCACATTTGGCTAAAAAATATGTTTTTATTTACATATTGAAAACTTTAAGTATCTAAGTGGGATAGAAATAATATGTTGGCGGCATACCACTAGGTGAACAATTGGATGCAAAATATGACTAAGGCCTAAATATAAGTTCTAGAGTTAAATAGATATCAGAAAAGTCAATGTAGGCATACTTACCTTTGCAATACTTCATGTTGAGTATTGCTGCCTTTTATTCTTTTATGAATTGCATTGCAATTTAGAATCCATGTTATTTCATGAAACAGTACAGCAATTATACAAACCAGAAAAAATATCTGAAAAAGAAATAATCAATAATCAAAAACATCATATGAACAATTTTAAATATAACAGATAAACACTCGATCTGGCTAAATGAGCATTTTGTTTGTTTGTAGAAACGGTATTTTTCGTAGAATTTCATCACTTTATAGTAATTGTATTTGTGAAAATTAAATTAATTATGATACTTTCCATTAAACTTTTTTTTTTATTACATATGAATTAATTAAATAATTTATTATGTAGGCCTATTTATAATGTTATGTTTTTAATTGATTACATTAAGTTTTTATATTCTATATTTTCATCCTGTAATTGGTGTCTACATTATTGATTGTACAAAATTAAATTAAATTATAGTTTATACATATAGAAACAACAAGGTTGAAAATGCATGAATAAACAACATCACAGGAAGAGTAATCTGAACAAGAATTAAAAAGAAAACACAATTTATTAATCCCATCGGGACCGGAGGAAGTCCGAGTGGGTTTTAATTAAATATAAACTAAATTTAAAAACCTACTTCTATATTATCGTTTTTTTTTAAACGTACCTTAAACATTCGATCCATTGATATCTACTTATCCTGTAACTTATCTGGTTGATATGCACATTCTGACCAACAGTTAGAATACTTACACCTCAGATGTAGTCGCTGTAAGACACCTCCCACATAGTAAGGATGTGGAGATGTCTCATATTAGTTGTATCTCTCCTAATTTGTCTTCTTCCAACTGAAAGAATGTACACCTCAAAGCGGCACACTCTAAAGTGTGATGTATTAACATTAGAGATAATTTTCTATTTGGTCAGAATTAAACAATGCAGATACAGATGGCCAACTGCAGCATATGGTCAAACGCAAACATTGCGGTAGGCCTATTCTACTGTTAATTAAATAAGCACAAGGTGGCACAAAGGACGATGGAAATAAGATAATTAAATGAATCGAAATATGATGCTTGTATTATAGTTATATCTCTCCCCACAAGCTCCTGGCTGACTTCAATTAATTTCGAGAGACAGCCATGATTCTCTATTCTTTGTGTAACCATCTAGAGCTTGACATCATTGGTTGGATTTGGTGAAAACGAATACTAAGGCCCTGAAATGAACTTTATTGAACATTGATCAGCGGCACACATAAGAATGATTTAACAATTACAAAAGAAACAAAAATAATTAAATAAGATACAGTACAGTATTTTACTGGTATTTGGGAAAGTTCTCTATAAAACCATGTGATCGTTGTTGTTGTTGTTGGTTGTTATTTATTATTATTAACATTATTTCTGTATTGTTATTTTTAATTTTTATTAGTAGGGCCTACTATTCGATTTATCATTAATATTATGATTACTCTGATTATTATTATTGTTATTATCATTATCACTGTATTCTTATGCTATAATTGTTCTTATTGTTCTTATCGTGGTCAATATTGTTATTATCTTCATCACTTTCAATTTTATTGGAGGCATACTAATGTTACTAATTAGTACTGCATTAAATATGTTGTTATTAATATTATTATTTTATTATTATTACTACTATTACTACTTTTGCGAATTATTATTTATTACAGTATTATTTTAGGCCTGTTAAAAGTAGTTTATCAGTTAATTATATATATACATTTTTTTAATACAGTATATTAATAAAAAAAAAAGGTTATGGATTATGAAAATATAAATCAGATTAAAGGGAACAAAAACAACAAATAAATGTGAAATAATAGAAACAATATAAGTAACAATAATAGTTCATATTAATAATAAATAAATATGTAATAAAAGTTGTTTATTGTCAGTGGCAGAACGTCAAGGCAAGCAAGGTATGCAGTGTATACCCTGTCTGAAACTAAATTTGTAGAGTTTTTCCATTTTAATTAGTTTCCTAGCCACAATCTTCTATACAAACCTTGATTTTTCGAGTAAATTGCAACGGTTCATTGGAATAGCAAAGTTTTTTTTTCAATATTTGGCTTACTTTAGTAGCTGGGGTAAGTCACACCGTATGCTCAGCTGCTTAGAATTTCCCCACGGCTGGTTTTCAATTTCAGCCAATCGCGTACAGTATTCAGTGAGTCAATGGGAGTTGGAGGGTCTATAAGAAGAGTTGTGAATAATTCATGATTTACCATAAACTTACCTACGGGAAAAAAATGTGCATAACGCTTAATACAGTATGCAATCTGTGGTGGCGTTTGAATAGCCAATTTAACACTGGAATGGAAGCACACTACTTCCAAGAGTATGTGCGCATCTTCTGGAAATTTGTATTGCGAGACATTCCATAAACTCAATGATTAGAGTTAAAATAAATTTGCATACATCACCCGTATAGACGAAACTTGTACTATTTAAATTGAAAATTGTTAAACTTACATGAATAGGAATTCTTTTGAAGCGAAGAAACTGCAACCATGCCGGTATAAAAAGAACGTACATTATAATTTTTCATTATAGACTAACAAACTTTTCCTACTAGCAGGCACTAGCATCTGTGGCGTATGTAGACAGGAGTCTTGAAATGGAAGGGGAGTTGATTTGGGGGTGGGAAGGCAAATTAATTTGAGATGTTTTATTCTTAACTACCTGAGCATGATTTTGGGGGGGGGGGGAGTATTTTAAACAACAACAAATAAATGTGAAATAATAGAAACAATATAAGTAACAATAATAGTTCATATTAATAATAAATAAATATGTAATAAAAGTTGTTTATTGTCAGTGGCAGAACGTCAAGGCAAGCAAGGTATGCAGTGCATACCCTGTCTGAAACTAAATTTGTAGAGTTTTTCCGTTTTATTTAGTTTCCTAGCCACAATCTTCTATACAAACCTTGATTTTTCGAGTAAATTGCAACAGTTCATTGGAATAGCAAAGTTTTTTTTTTCAATATTTGGCCTACTTTAGTAGCTGGGGTAAGTCAAACCCGGGTCTATCGCATCGTATGCTCAGCTGCTTAAAATTTCCGCATGGCTGGTTTTTAATTTCAGCCAATCGCGTACAATACCTGTATTCAGTGAGTCAATGGGAGTTCAAAGGTCTATAAGAAGAGTTAATAATTAATGATTTACCAAACTTACCTACGGGAAAAAAATGTGCATAACGCTTAATACTATCTGTGGTGGCGTTTGAATAGCCAATTTAACACTGGAATGGAAGCACACTACTTCCAAGAGTATGTGCGCATCTTCTGGAAATTTGTATTGCGAGACATTCCATAAACTCAATGATTAGAGTTAAAATAAATTTGCATACATCACCCGTATAGACGAAACATGTACTATTTAAATTGAAAATTGTTAAACTTACATGAATAGGAATTCTTTTGAAGAGAAGAAACTACAAACATGCCAGTATAAAAAGAACATACATTATAATTTTTCATTATAGACTAACAAACTTTTCCTACTAGCAGGTACTAGCATCTGTGGCGTATGTAGATAGGAGTCTTGAAATGGAAGGGGAGTTGATTTGGGGGTGGGAAGGCAAATTAATTTGAGATGTTTTATTCTTAACTACCTGAGCATGATTTTGGGGGGGGGGGGAGTATTTTATAGGGAGAATACTCTTCAATTTACCCTACGGTCCACCACTACTATTTATTGTACGTCAATACGCGATTAACACATAGTAGATCGATTGTCCGAATGTGGTACACATACCTGATGAAAATTGAAGCAACTCATTCAAGACATTTTCAACTTGAAAAAAAAGTTCTTTTCATAACTATCTGCATATTGTTACATCGCCATGCATACCTTCAAACAATATTTAGCTTAAAGGTCGTAAGTTATCTTTCCTGATCATTTTTATCAAAAAATATATGAATATTCATGATAATTAGATGATAGGCGGAGGTACGGCGGTAGCAATGGGTGGGCCCAGCCTGGTATAGATAGGTAAGCACTTTGCAAAATGAGCGAGTAACATTTGGGGATGGATAGGTGAAGTGGTGATTCTGTGAAGATTTCTAATTAACACTTGTTAAGTGAGGCGAGTGTGTTAAACTGACACTTTCACATACTCATTCAATATTAAATGTTCGGTCGCCAATTAGAGGATTTGCTTTGTGTTTGACGATTGAAGATGGTTAGTTGGTACTTTCCAAAAGTGGTCTCGAATTAAAGGAGTCTCGAATTGGAGGGCAAACTGTACATTACGTTTCTACATTTATCCAATATAATGGAGGAAAAATTTTTAATTTGAGACCCCCATTTTTTTCATTTATTGTTCTGTTTCTGGAATCCTTTAACAAAATAAAATGTTTATAATTCATGTATCAACCATTATAATTCAAATAACTAGGATGAATCATCACAAACATAACAAACATGATACAAAATTTTTTTTTTTCTTTTTCTTTTTTAGTATAAACAGCTTTATCTACAAACAGCATATAATTATATCGAGTTGGGGAACATTTATACAATTTTCACATTTGTCATTTCCCTGTAAAAAAACTGCATGTGTTCAGTTAACATATTTTTATATCAAATACACTTCTTCATTTTTTAATTCAAGCTTTTTAAACATTTCTTCGATATAATAAAAGTGATAAAAATCATATTTGTTATACTTATATAATTTATATTTGTGAGGTGTCGTGACAAAATGAGTCCATTTGTACAACATATAAAAAATGATTTATTGATATATTTAGACAGGTTCCTGGGTGGAGTAAAACTGGAGTAAGATCATTTTCAAATTCAGATGTCTGAAAACGTACTTTAGAGAAAATAGTGTCTAAAAATAAACAACTAAAAATTTTTGTGTTCGTTTTCCTACCAATTCTGAAAAACAGCTATTCAAAATGTGCCTCAAAAACACCTTTAACTTTTGTAATTAAAATCAGAACATTTGCTATCATAAAACATACGTATTAATCTTATCAAAAATATTGATTAGATAATTTTCTTGAATATATCAAATTGACCTGGTGTACAAGGTTCATTTTCTCAAGATGCCTCACACTTGTGAAGATGGTTACTTTTGAACATGTTCACTGCTAAAGAACATGAATGAGGGTTGAGTATACTCGCAGATATGATATTCTTTTGGATTTGTATATTACAACACTAGTGGCACCGCACAAACACCGTATATCGCTGTCAGAAATGTACTGCACCATAAATGTTGCAACTTACAAAACTTTGATTTATTATGTGCAAGTGGTAACATGTATACTTGGTGGCACCCTTTAACAGAAAGGGAAAAACTCAACTGCATGACAACAAAAAGTTTTAACTCATGATGATATCAACCTTGATCTTAAATATTAGCAACGCACACTTCCTTATACTTTTCTCCATGCTGTAGAGTCTTCACACGCTTATCTTCATGTGAAATGTATAATATACATCCAGCAAATCAGATAATGTACAGATGGCTAGCTTACATTTTCACAGGCTCACATAAACAGATGAAAACTAGTTGGATTGCTAATTATGTGTTCTGGTAGATGAATTGGAGGCAATATGATTTAGCGTTCACTTTTCAACTAAACTATGCTCCTTTAGTTTATTGAAGAAGAATCGTTCCAGCGTGTTTGCACACCTAACATACTCTGTATCCACTGCGTTATAAGCCCGGCAGTTGCTGAAGATGCGTTGCATGTCCGCAATGAAAAGTTTTGGTGAGGAATAATATCGGTTCTTTACTCGCTCATGCATTGTCTTTAAATCTGAAATTGATATTTATTTTCAGTGAAATGTTTTATTAGAATAATAAATTGTACTTGATTTAGAATGATGGAATGAATTAAATATCTACATTTATGGGAAGAAATACATAAATTAATGGTATAGATATATACAAATCTACAAATACAGATATATCGGTTAAATATCTATTTCCCAAGCAATTTGATCAACATGGGTCTAAACTCACAACTTCTTGAACGATTTTGATTTGGATTATATTGACTACATTTATCTATCATCTTTATCAAATTTTCTTTGACAAAAAATTGTTGTATGCCCATATATACGGTAGTCGTGATGTGCCTATATATGGTCATGATGGGGTGGTATCATGAACATATTTGTGCATTACAGTACTTACCCATTGGATACTTAATATGGTCATAGTAGTCAGGGGCCGCTGCCTTCTCAACCGGTTTCAGAAAAGGCCACGAGCTGGTGTGACTCTAAATAAAAATAGAGTGGTAACTTAAGTGGATAAAATGATTCATAATTATATTTATAAGTCAATCGTGACATCATCAATGTAACTCTTGATGTTATTTTCATATCTTAATTTTTTAATTAGTGCATAGTTTACTTGGCCTTTTTCGTGTGCAGTAGGTCAAAACAAACCCGCGATGAATTCTGGGCTAGTGTTTTTGCACCTAGCACTACAATTGTAGGCGCTCAAGATTTTTTTCAATCTAACCTTTGTATAATTTACACTAGAGTATGATATGCATCTATACTAATAGTATACATATAAATATATATAATGACGATGATGGTAGTGGTGACGACAACAATAGAGTTTATGATGATGAATATAATTATGATAATGAGATTGACAGTGGTGATTTTGCATTATACAGTTAACTTGCCTAAAGTCAACTTTGCCTAACTCACATAATTTCTATGTCGAACTTATTTGACATGCCAAATTGTTGTGATTTCCATTAATTAACAATCTGTAAGTCTAATTTCATTTAAGTCAAACATTTTTTAATGGCATTCTGGATTTACTCTACTGTAATTCATTACAATTTTATTAGTATCATTATTATCATCACAGCTCATAATATATACAGCACTCACCTTTACTGAAGTCATAATTGCCTTGTATAATGCATACACCTGATCCTCGGTCATCATGGATACCTTACTCTTCTCTTTGGGTGGCTTCCACCCTGCTTCCCCTGAATAACACAATTTATACATTAATTGGATTGGAATTATTGACTGTCAACACCAAAGCTAATAATAATAGGTAGATTTATAAGGCACAAACAAACAAGGTCCAAGTAAACAAAAGGCAAAGAAAAAGTAATGAAAAAGCAGAATAAAGATGCAAAGATTAGAGGAAAAGGAGAACAGATTATCCTAATATTAACCAAAAATAGGAAACTACAAAAACAGACTAACATACAAAACCAACACCATTACACCATTTTCTGGCAAGATCATGATTCACAGGTGAATGGTTTTGGCATCTAACTAGCCTATTAAAAAAAAAAAAAAACAGGTGAGGAAAAACAAAGACAGTTCACTGGAGGAAACAAGAAAGAGATCACAAAGATACAAAAACACACAAAAGTCTGAAGACCTATTTCCAGTGGGTTCCTTCTGATGGTGAAAATGGGCAGCACACAGGGAGACAATCCTTTGCTTTTTTCCAAAGATGGGACTGCATTCTTTAACATGCACATAGGCCATACTAAACATAGCATGTCTCTTTGGTGCGTCTTTTTTTTTATACCTACATTTTAGCCCTCAAGCAGAAACACAAGGCAGCAAGCAGATGGAATTAAATTTTAAAATTTAAACTTAATGAATAGTGCTAAGTACTTACAAAAACATTTTATTACTATTATTTAATTGTTGGGTTTTAGTGTTTTTCTGCGATGTATTTCTGCACTTTACTGTAATTTCCTTTTGGACACAATACAGAAATCTGAATCTAACAATGGATCTCCATGGTTTAACACACACAGTGACTACCACAAGCTTATAGCCAACTGAGCTATGTTGCTCTTGCTGATATTTATTAAGATCGTATACATACAGTAGTCTGTGCTTCTAAAACTTCATGTGCATCCATTTCTCAGAATATTCAATAATCTCCTCTTTTTGTTTACATTTAATACTTTAAAGATATCATTGATTGATCACATTCTGAAGTCCATATAACAGATTGAAAGGTTACATATGAAGATGTGTCCACATGGAATATAATATAGCGTAACAGTAATGAAACTCAAATACGTAGGATGTTGACTTTAGAAACACTAAAATTTATTGATGTGAATATTTCGGCCACTTTTGTCAGAAAATGAGAGGAAATATAACTATTCCCAAGACCCCATGATCAAATAAATTACTTACACGATGACTTACAGAAATCTTCCAGTGGGAGATAAAGGAAATAATGTGTCATAGCTGTAGTGTAACAAGAATTCAAGTACACTATATTATTTTAATACAAAAGCCTCATCACATTGACTTTCTAAATAAAAAATAATAAAATTACTTTTGTGAAACAATACAATCAGATATTGTCTATTATTTGTAAACAATTTTCCAATTACATAAGTTATTTATTTATCTGCATCACATTGGAAATCTTTTGTGGCAAGCTAAATCACAGAACAATTAAGGGGATGCTTATGAATATCCTCCAGAGTCTTGAAGTAAGGATAATCATTCGGATGTGGCTTTCTATAATATTGCATCTTATCTACTAGGGAGATTAGGTTTCAAATATTATTAATATGTGTTTATTAGAACTATATGCACGAAAAACAAGTGAACAGATGTAAGTGGAAAAACTAGTAAAAGAATAACTTCAAGCCAGCACACAGACCGCAGTATGGGGATACTCCCTCGTCACTGACCAGGGATCTATCAAAATGTACCTTATCCAGCACCAGTTGAGTCTCAGCTATCTCAAGACTTAGCGCCTCAAATCCTAATAGAACTAGAAAAAAGCTAGCTAGCAAGGAACGGCAAAATAGGGAATCAAAGAGAACAAAAAAAGTGAGTTTCCAATTGAGAATAAAAAGTACGGACCCAGCAACCAGAAAATATTTTGCAATACTTTGAAAAGAACATCAGTCTCTCAGTTACGTAAGCACTTATTATACATTTGTTGTAAATATATAAATGATTGGTAAAAATTGTAAATTTGTAATTGTAAGTTAGTAACTTAGCAATTAAAGAATGGAATTGAATTTTGTTTTGCTCATAACAGACAAAACATAAGGAGGCGATTCACTTACGAATTCCTGGGATTGACTCAATTGGAATGCTTCTAACTCCTTCTTTGAAGCAAGTAAGCCCGGGGTAAACTTTCCGTAACTCTCCCTGCTTCTTTTCGATTAATTTCTTCACAATCTTTAAAACATATATTAAAATCACATTCATCTAAGCACATAGCATGAGCAAAGGCTTGTTGTTATGTCTGCAAAGGGCATTTATTTATTTCTCTATATTTAGACTAAACATGTCTGCTACCTAAATTATTTCACCATGATTTCACTTCAGAGCATGAGGTAAATAAACATGTACAACACTAGCAAATCATGTATATTAAATATTCAAACAAATGCCATTGAAAATAGTAATAGTAATTAATATATAAAATTTACCCATAAAAGACAAAAATTAGATGATTAAATAATGAAAAATAAAAAAAACAAACAATTTAAATATTAGTCTACCTCTTTCTGTTTCCTGATAATCTTTGAGAATTCCGTGTGAGGAATCCTGGGATTGAGTTGACATCCCATTAGTGTAGCGCCCTCATAGTCCTTGATATAGCCAATGTATGCAGCTTTAGCCATTTTAATGTCTTTTGAAAAACCCTAAAAAAACAACAAATATTCATTATTAATGATTACTATCTTGAAGAGCTAGAATAATTTTCAAATGCTTAACAGTAGAGGGCGCTACCTGTTTTTTGAAGTAGCCAATAGCGTACTCATCTGCAAACGTGAGGAAGTTGTAGATGCCGTGCTTGATGTGGTAGTCCTTCAGGTGATTCATAAGGTGTGTTCCATATCCCTGAAAAATAAAATATAAAAATTATATTCTGGCAACAATAAAACTTTAATACTCATTCGTCTGTTTACTGATATTTGGCTTTTGTGTTAGTAAGCAATGGATGCCAGAGGCTGTAAGATTCCTCTAATTCTGTACAAAATTACAGTAGAATAAAGTTGAATAGCTTGGTGATTAAGATGTTGGCCTTTCAATCCAAGGGTCAGGGGTTCAAAACACTGTTGCAGCAAGACTCATAAAGAGACTCATTTTAGAAAGAGACTTATTTTTATGGAACATCATTCCATCCTGAAATCTGCAAGTTAGTTGCAGTTGAATTGGGGCAAGTCGAGTGGCCGAGCGGTAAGACAGGGTACCTCTAACTACAGCCTTAAAATTGGCGCTGGTTCCAACTGCTCCTTGCCCAGTGTTCAGTCAGTAGAACCAAGTCATCTCGGATAAGGACCTAAAATGAAGGTTCAGTGTACAAATGTGGTCATGTGCACACCTGTTGCATCTTTCAGAAGAGTAGGGGTTACCCCGATGCTATAGTACATTTCAGCCCGTCATTGTGGAATGATGTGAACCCATAGCTACAATAGGCTAGGTAGTCACAAACCACGTCCATACTCAATTCAGCATCACAACCTTTACCAGATAATGTGAAAAATAATAAAAATCAATAAAAAAAAAAGTGTATTTCCCTATACATGATTAAATTCACTCTAACAGTTACTCTGATTTACAAGAGGAGATGGTTAGGTGGTATAAGCAAAAGAAAAAAATATACAATATTAACAGAGATACAGATAGATTTTATTATTCAAATGGAAAACTTTAGCTTACCTTGACTTGTTCATTAGACGTCACAGCACAAAACACAATCTCGGTGAAACCCTGTGACGGAAACATTCGGAAACAAATTCCACCAATCACACGCTTGTCTTTTACCAACGCCAATGTCTTGTGCTTCCTACACATATAGATTTAGTTAAATTTTGAAAACTTGAGACATCAAATACAGTGCCCCCTCTAATTTGAGGCAGCTTTTTTAAAGAACCAAGTAAAAATCATCAATCTTTTAACCACAAAGCTAGCCCTCTAATTGGGAGGCCAAACCCTGAAAACACCCTAAATTTTCAGGTCCCAAAGTCGTCTCAAAACAGGGAATTAATTATGAATATTTACTTTTTGTTTTTCTGCACGCTGGACAATGTCTCTCCTTCAAGCATCCAGCATTTAATTCATCTAGACACATGATACGACAGCTCACATTTGATGCAATTACTAAACCACAAAGCCTGACAATGCGTAAGGATGAGTTGAATACTACACCTTAACTTTAAGATACCATGATTTAAACAACATATATTGAGTGTATACACAGTTGTTAATCAGTGTAGCAATCTGACCCACCACCACAACCATCAAATGATCCAATCACACATTGTTTCTGATATGTAGGAGCTTAATGCATGCTGATTAAGTGTGAAGATGTATGTTTACTTGGCTATGTACACACAAATTTTGTATGATATTTCTTGTCTGATGCTTTTCTTATTCATTCCAAAGTGGTAGAGAGCCCCTTAATAATTAGCCTGTTGAACAGATAAATAAAGATTACATGAAGAATGATCAACTAAAATGTCATTTTATGTCACCAATGTCAGTGCAAAACTTACGGATCAAATACAAGTCTTGTTATATATTCCTTTGGCATTCTGGGTAATTGGTGAGAGAAGACATTCTGCAGGCCAATAAGCCACATCATTGTCTGTTTTGACGGCCTATGACTTAATGAGTTGCCAATCACGTGAAACTCAATCACACCACGTTTTTCCTCCAGCCTTGCTGCCTCATCTCGGGATGCATGGGCGGAAAACAAATTGTCCTGTAAAAGAATATATTAAATATTAATATATTATTATTCAAATAGTTAAGAAACAAACACTTGTAAAAAACATAGCAACAGTTAAGCTTGTTTAAGAGAGGATGTCCATTTCAAAAGTCTCCATCTCTTCTAACTAAATGTACATTTGACTAAATTCTTGACCTCCAAAATCTGCACTTCACCGATGCCAGCAAATCAAATTACAGCCTACTGTTATTTGTTGTTTTATAATTTGTGGCTTAACTATTCTTAAAAAACGAAAATTACAATAGGAATTAATGTTATACCCAGCACTAATAAGTAGCATAAACATGTGTGCCGTTTGCTTCTTTAAAACCTTAGAATAACAAACACACTTTAATACACGCACAAAAACCCACACACATATATGACACGATACTTTTTCATTCCTACTGGATTGAATTCAGTTGAAGACAAAATACTGAATATAAATGTCCTTTATAGAAATAAACACATGATAGAATGAACATTTAACACATTAGAAGCATTTTGAATCAGCAGGTGCGTACCTCTGGACCAACCATGGCAGCAGGATCAGTAATTGTTGACAGGACCTCTGTGACGAGTTCCATTGGGATGTCAGTGGCAAGACGTTGTCTTTTTACATCTTCAATGCTATCACTCTCCTCGGCAACCCTTCTTTTCTTATCTATAGAGAACCAACAAAATCATTGCTCACAATCAGCTTATTTTATTACAGGTAATATTTTTGGATTACTTATTTGGAGTTTTTACCCCATTTTTCACATACCACAGACATACCAATAACATTATTAGTTCTAAATACAATCATATCTTTTGTTTATTGCATAATTATGGTAGATATATATTTGTAGTTAATGGTTGATAGTATGCTAATGCAAATGTATTGACTAGTTGTATATTACAATATCAATACAACATTGTATGTTCAGGGAAGATTAACACGGCTGTATTTTTTTAACTTTACCACTATTTCATAGTTAAACTCTATTGCATCCATGTTAACATCTGTGTTTTTGTGTATTTAATTGATATAAGTTCAAACATTTATATATTTCTGTTCAATCAAACATATAGCATGTGTTTGTTATAAGAACAAATGGTGGTACTAGATAGATAGTTGTAGTTAATGATTGATAGTATGCTAATTCAAATGTATTGACTGGTTGTATATTGCAGTATTAATAGAACATTTTATGTTCAGGGAAGATTAACACGGCCGTATTTTTTAAACTTTACCACTATTTCATAGTTGAAATCTATTGCATCCATGTTAACATCTGTGTATTTAATTGATATAAGTTTAAACATTTATATATTTCTGTTCAATCAAACATACTGCATGTGTTTGTTATAAGAACAAATGGTGGTACTATATAATTTAGGACAATATTGTAATAACATACTGTATACTTCATGTAATACATTGCAATAAACTGCTTCTATGCACTTTACATTATTAGTACTCCCTGTCCATTGGACAAACACCTTTGGACATACCCTCAGATCACTGGGAGGAACACCATTCCGCTGGCAGATAGAATCAGCGCTTCGTATTATACCGGGTATCCACTTATACTTATATAAATTGTCTTCTCCAAGGACACAAACGACTTGCACAAGGTTTTCAAAACTCTGAACTCAAGCATGAGAGGCAGAGCCACAACTGCTGTGCAAACCGCTTCTACAGAAAAATGAGAAATTTAAATTTACATCCTAGAATTTCAAATTAGAGTTACAGTATTATTACCTCCAGATATTTCTAAATCGGCCTTTTCCTTTGCCCTCCTTTTCATTTCGCCACCCGTTGCCACGGCATTTTCTTGTTTCAATTCACTACTTGGAGAGTCCTCTGTAGTTGCTGTGGTAGCACTGGCTGGATTCTCTGAGCAAAGACTATCGGTGTCCCCTGATGACCCTAAAAATTAACATACAGATCATGCACTATTAAGTTTTGTTCAGTCTGGTGTCCTTAAAATCGCTACACTGTCGCTAGTGTTTTCTATGCAATCGTTGTACTGTGTAGCAGTCTCCGATGCAATCGGGAAGGCTCCTCGATTGACCGCCCAATCAACATCGCTGTTGGTGATAGCGTGTAGCGATTGTATGGAAACCAAAGTTTAAGAATGCTCCTAGGTGAAACAGAGAAGCCACATGGCTTTCAATATGCAATGAAATGGCCACTGCAGCTTCAAATGAGCAGCATGTTGGGATTGGCAGGAACAATGTAATGTATTAGCAGTGATAAGTATCTAAAAAGCCTACGGCAAAAAGTCAAATTATGGTTGTCTTTGACATCGTCGGTGTCATCGTGGCCGTCATTATTTTCATATTGATCGTCATCATCTTGATTATCATCATCTTCATTATAATCAATATCATTATCCTCATTGCCATCATCAATTTATATTTATCAACTTGATCCTCATCATTATAATTAGTACTACAGTATTATTTTATCATTTGACATCAACATTTTATTAATACAGTAATTACTATCATCATCATCATCATTATTCTTACTATTATCATTAGCATTTGTATTTTATCATCATCACTAACATCATTATTAGTAGCATACTATATCATAGTATCATTACTGATGCTATTGGATGATCCATTTCATCAATAAAGTTATTACATGACATCTACTAACCATGGTCTGGCATTGAGAGTGCTGGAGAGTTGTCAGTTGATTGACAGAAGTCAGGGTCCCAGATTGGTGAATCTTTGCCATAAACTTCCTCCTCCAACATAGATAAAAATCTGAAAACAAAATCAAATAGATTGGTGAATCTTTCCTACTCCAACATAGATAAAAACCTAAAAAACAAAATCAAATTAAGATTCAGAACAAGTTCTTTTCCATTGTTTTTGTTCTTCATTGTTGTTTTATTGGCATCCTGATAACTGGTACTATGCACTTATAATGCACATTTCCTCACAGTTATGAAGCACAAGTGTTTAGGATTTATGAAAACTTTGGTGGACAAAATCACAATACCCCGAGAAAACATTATTTATAGTCCCATTAAGGTTAAAGGCCTCTAAAGAGCCTCTGTGGTTTGGGGACAGCACCAGCCTTCAGAAATTTAACAATAATTATTTGTGAATTTAAACTTGCCAGTTGTGATGTGCTGGGAGTTCCATTAAGAGCCTCAGAAGTAAATTTATTTTTTTCAATACTAAAGGATTTGAACCAAGAACAGTGGTAGTAGAAGGTGAGCATCTTAATTATCCAAAATATAGCTCCACCCCAATACATGGTTATAAAAAGGTTCCACACATTCATACATGTCAATATAAATATACTGTAGGCCCCATTCTTAACATGTACAGTGGTGGAACCAGGAATTTAAAAAAGAGGGGGCCCGGGGAGGTACTTTAAGGAATGGAGGATATAAAACCTCAGCCCCCAGCATGGTTAGGGCTGAGGTAAGAAAATTTGCGATTATGGCACCTGTAGATAGCCGGAAATTGCACTCTCAAACTTAAAATTTGAATATAATTTTTAAAAAAAATTGGAACAATTTTGGGAGGGGAGGACTGGGTAGGCTGCCCCACCCCCCCCTTTGAATCTGCCACTGATATACACAAATAACAACTTGAACAATTGTCTTTATACGTAATGATTGCAAATGAATTTATCACAAGATATTGTTTACATGGCTAAGTAATAATATATAAAAAGTTTGCAGTACAACACAGATATTTTTGAAAAGGTGTAATGTAATGTGTCTGAAAAAAAGCCAGTGGTGAATTTAAAAGGCATCGAGGTACAAGAGCACATCTTTCTACAAAAAATGGTCGTGGGGAAAAACAGAACATACTTCTAAAGGGGGCACAATTAGGGAACCTGCTATGTAGTATTGACGCAGAGTAACATGCTCCAAAAAAGCGAGTGAGCACACCAAAACATGCTCCCAAAAACCAACCGGGCACAATTCAATATACTCTGTGTTTTCACTGCCAATATTCTTTTCCATACATTCCAAATTTCGCCTGCAGTGCCTTCTCTTCAAAATGCTAGATGTGGATGTGTCCATAGAATCTGCATATTACTACACAATAACTGATGACAAAGCTGAAACAGTCCACAAAAGCTGCATATGATTACACACAAACAGAATCAGCAAAAGCAGTCCCCAGTAGCATCATTACACATAAACTGATGACAAAACAGCAGTCACCAACAGCTACATATTCTAGCGTTACACACAAACTGATGACACAACTGAAACAGTCCCAAAGGCTAAGCATTATTACACACAAACGTATGACAAAGCTAAAACACAAACAGTACCCAGTCTTGCTTCATATTACACGCAATCTGATGACAGTTCGGCTAAAAACAGTCCCCAGAAGCAACATATTATTACACGTAAACTGGTGACGCAGACCTTAAACCACAAATTTATATTAACAATAAAAATTCTTGACAAGTCGGGGAGTGAAGTACACTATTTCAATAATATAGTCAGAAATGTGCATATAGTATTAATGTACAGTACATCTAATTTTTGATAATGATCATTCACTATTAAAACACAGGAATAATTGCGATGGGGATTTCTTCTCTACATTTTTCAAGCAAAAAAATTTGCTTAGGGTTTGGCAAGAAAATGATATTGAGAGTCTAATTGCATATTATAAATTTATTCAGACTTCTGTATACCGAGACAAGGTTTTTTTTATATCTTGTTTCGTGAACCCACCCCCCTCCAATAATACTAATAATAATAATAATACTGATAATTTAGAGTACTGTACAGTAAAAACAAAATTTTATTTTTGGCCAATTATCGCACCCACCACCACGAAAAACTGGAAATTATAGAAAAAAATTAAAGTTTTTCTTAATTTTATTATGCCTTAAAATCTCCAGATATAAGATATGTATATTTCCTCCTAATTATATAAATTTAAAGCATTTAACCATCCCATATACTACACTGTTTATATTCAACAATAATATTTTATTTTTAATTATCCTCTATCGGGATGTTTTGGCAAAACTATTTGCTAAACAAGAAAACAAAATTTAATTTTTTTTTTTCACCTGCCTTTGACAGTCTTTAATAAAATAAGTTCAATCATTCTTCGAAGATGTTATTTAATAAATATAATGTACTTAAAAAATATAATTTATTATTATGAGGCATGTTATCCTAAAGCTAGCATCCATGGCCAAAAACATTTTTTTTTATACATCCTAATTCCCCATATTAAGAGCTTTAACATGATAGGTCATGGGTCACTCACTAACATCAATTAACTAATGCCCAAGTTATGAGCATCAGCATTACGGATTCTAAGTACTATAAGTACAGTATACCGTAAGCAGTCACATTTTAATGGCAATTACCCTGTTTAACATAATGTAGCAGTAGCGTCGTATGGACTTAGTGGTTTGATGCTTGCTCTCTAATCCCAGGGTCCTAGTTCAATTCCTGTGACAACTCCACTCCCTAAGCCCCATAAAAGGGAGTTCGCTGACAAAAGGATCACATTATTTAATTCATAAGAGGGCCCAGGTATCAGCCAATCTTCTAAGATACGCTGGGTCACCCTCTATACACATGGTTTAAAAAAATGTACACTGGATTTGGGAAGGCATGCCTCATATATTCCAATCATTACATTCAATTATTTTGTGTATATAAATTTCTATGTTGCTGAATTAGTCACAGATCCAATAAAATTCCTAGACTATATCCCAGCTCCATAATAATATGTGATCATACAGTAAACAGTATATTCATAGTTACAGCAGTGAGCTGTTATAAGGTCAAATCAGTAAACAAAATACAAGGATCGTAATAATGTGTATTTTATTTTTGTCCCAAGTCAGTTTTACTGTTCAAGATTATAACAATTTATAACCGCATGTAGAATTCATGGTTACTCCATCAATTCTATCGACATGTAGGTGTTTTACGTTCAAGTCAGTGAAATCTCAGTGATATCTTAATCGTTTGTGATTTATTGCTTTCGTTGGAAAACAAACAGGTAGAATATAATGTTTAGGACATATTTTCCGCTGTCTGACTCAAAAGCTGATGTCTTTGCATTTATATTGTATAAATCATCATTTGAAAAATATCTCTGTATTGACTTGATAGCTTGAGCTATACTGTATACCTGACTTTGTGATAAATTTTTGAACATAAATCACATTCATGTATACTTAGGATAGAAAAAAAATCAAGAAATCTATAAATGTTGGAGATGTCCCAATATTTAAAACAAAAATTTTATGCTTTACAAATCAAAATTTTTGGAATCGAGTATACTTTTTTTGCTATAACATTTTTAATGTATTGAAACGTTGATTCTTGTCTATTTTTTAATTATGTTTTTCTACTTCACCTATTCTATACAAATTATTATTTTCTAAAAACTATTAGAATTAGTTAATGTACCAAATTTATAATTTATTTAATATATACACAACAAAAACGACATATTGAACCAAACCAATCACAAATATTATCAGCAGAGTGCTCAGTGGTAAACCAGAGCAGATACAGTAAATAATAAAAAACAAAGATCAACAGTAGTTTTGATTAGATATTATATAACTATTTAGTTTTGTACTACACACATGGTGTGAAACTTTTCAGATAAAAATTACCAAATCGAAGGCAATGCATTTGCATCTGAAGAGTGTCACATCATGTCAACTGTTGTTGAACCTCAATATTTATTTTTCTATATAAAAATTCATTATATATTTTATTTTAAATGTACAAAGGAACAAATAAAATCTGAGATAATTATATAATATAGTATTCTATTGTAAATGTATTATTGTCTATTTGTAAAACATTTTACAAATCCCCAAAAACAACCTGTATTTAAACTATCTTAATAATGATTGAATAAAGGCCTCCTGAATAAACTAGTTTAGGCCAAAACTTGGCACAAACCTCAATAGAATAAATGCCTTGGGTGTCTGGTTTTAAATGAATAATTCACCTCCAAAGAATCATTCCTGATGATGATATAATTAATGTCGATATATTGAATCCAAACACGATGGCGTGTATTTCAATACTTGGAGTATGTATTATACTTTCTTAGGAATGTTTTACTCAAGTTCTATCAACAAAGAGCAAAATTTCTATTATACAATATATATTTATTGAGTGACAACATATAACTAATTACGTGTTGTATGTAGTTTATCGTTGCTCACAAAACGAAGAATCATTTACGTACTTTTGTATTCAGGCTAGAGCACTTGATAACCATTTTACAAATACACATGCCTCAAGGTAAATTATCGCCCCCTTCAATATCCACTCAAAATGCAGCATTTGAATAAACTGTTTATGAATGTGCATGACATGAATAAATAAATACATCTAAAAAAAAATTAAAGTTAATAAATTTCAGAGGGAAAAGGTCTGTGGCAGGGGTACAAATGTCCACATCATCTGGATTTGCCTGTGATGAAAATTAATAATCAGATAAATTAACTTAACTACAGCCGCAAAACCTAAGTACTAAAAAAAAAAAGATGAAAGCAGAATGCCTGTTGGTAGTTCCACTCAACAGTTCATTCAAAATCTGCACATATTTGATCTCCTCAACTTACCTTGGAAAATGTGTCATTATTAATGTCCTCTTTTCCGGGGGCATCTTATCTTTCTCGGCACGGAACTTATCTAGGAGTTGTTGTCGCATGACAGTGAATACTGATCGTAGAAGTGTTCGACCGAAGATATGAGTTGTCTCATACTTTTGCAGGCTATCACAGAAGGCAGGAACATGGGTGTAGCATAACCACCTAAAAATTATTTGATGAAGAAATAAAATTATGAACAAAACTGTTAATTATTATTTAAAGATGTATTGTCCCATGAAAAATACCATAAAAATCATTATTGAAATCAACTTGCTCATTTTGAATTAACATAAAAATTATAAACATGATTTAATAGAAATTTAAAAAAAATGTTTACCCATAATGTTACAGAATAAAATGATAGAAACACTTGTAGTCACAGAAATGTTTTTATTGGTTTTTTATTTTATCATTATCCAGTATAAAAATCAGGGTACACATTTTTAAAATGAAATAATTGTTATGCTCAAGTTAATAATATGTGTTACTACAAAATAAATTAATTTCAAAATTATGTATTATGACATTTTTGTCAATGGACAATACAACTCTACTTTTGCATATATTTTTATTTTAGTTTGTTCAGCATAAAATAAAATTTGCCACGGATATGAAAGATAAACAATACAATTGTATCAATGAACAAGAAAATTATTTAAATGCTATGTAAATTTATGTTGAAAAATATTACTGGATCCTCAATGATTTGAACCAAGAACGTGAAGGTTTGGAAGGCAAGCACCTAATAGCTATTTGACACTTGACATCGACCCTTACCGTGTGTAGTTGACCTTATAGGTTGAAACGTCGTCCAACTGTGACCGCTCCTTTCTAACCGTTGGCGTTTCTAACCGCCAGTGGTTGAAACAATGGAGAAACATCTTTGCCAGGTCATACATTGTCTGCCATTCCTTTTGTGGTAAATGGCCAAACTTGTACTGTACAAAGTTTGTAATGCCCTGCAAAGCAACAAAGCAACACATTTTAACATTTGTGTAGTAAGAATCTATCATTACTAATATAATATACAAGAACTTGATTGAGATCTGGCAAGCTTTTATTCTTATTTGAACTTTTATACCTTTAAAAAAGGTGTGCTTTCTTTGACAATTATGTGTAATTTCCCCATATATGGGAACGTTGATGTCATATCACGTCCGTATACTGCAAATTACTGGTATCTTTCACATGAAACGTGATAGTGTGCAAAGAACTCAAGAAAACATCATGCTTTTTATAATATTTTAAGCTTTGTCCATTTTAAGCTCTCTCTTTGGCAAAAAAAAACTGTTGTATGCCCATATATAGTCATGATGTGCCTATATATAGTCATGCTGTGATGCCATCATGACTATATTTAGGCACGTCATAACAACTTGTCTAATAAAATTTGATAGACAGGACTATTTAAAACCTAGGCTCCCAAAAAGTGGGGTTGCAACCACATTTGGATCCTTTAATACCAGGGCTTCAAAGATGGAGCCCCACTGGCTCCATACGAAATTGTAAAACCCTGAGCTAAATATATTCTTGAAGAATTTATGTATATTTTTGGAGTGGTTAAGGTACAGTATGCAAGATAACATGGGGTATTTCCAAGAATTAATAAAGTTCATGCAATCTCCTACTTTTGTGATTATGATACTTAAAGGTAAACTCTATGTGCTGAGTTAATAAATTTGAACAACAAAATTTTAAAAAAAAAATGAATTTGCTTACTTTGTATATTTAAGAAAAGGGTAACGGGTAAAAGAGTAAAGGAATTTGAACTGGTACAAATCCGGAGTGCCCATTCCTCTTTCTTAAGCGTGGGGGCCAGACTGTGCAATGCTTTGAGGGAATCGTCCCTCCTCCTCCTCACAGCAAGTCTGTTTACCTTATATGTATACCCATTTTATGCACCCATTTATACTCCTGGGTAAAGAGAGACAAATGCAGATAAAGTGTCTTGCCCAAGGACACAAGCGACTTGCACAGTGAGAGTTTGGAACCCCTAACAACGAGTTTAAGAACTCAAGCTTTAACCGCTGTGACAAATGCTTCCACAAGAAAATAAGGTACAATATCCTTTCAAATGAAAAAGAGATTGGAAAACATTTTCTTTAATAGCTAGTAGAATATACAATCTTGGACACAGTATGTTTTTCATTCACATACTCTTAAATAATTTAATTGTATGTTTGAGGGATGTTTTTTTTTTCTAGATTTTAACTGGCAGTATCTCTAAAAACCTATTATTAATGCATTGGAACATTCCCACAACAACTGCCTTGGGGTTTGGCAAACGTCACAGGCATTTACTATGTACATAACATTTTGCTTTATCTAGGGTGCTTTCATTATTCAATTCACATGCTAGTACAGAAGTAGAATATATAGTAATAAGGTACATCAGAAAAACTATTTTATATTATTTTATTTATATTGAAAATAATATTCAGTAATTAATGAAAAACATATACAGTTCTCTGTCTTTATCCTTGCTCTGTGGCTGATACCTTGTCGAGGTAGAGCAGCTTGTGTTCCTCAGAGATCCAATGAGCTAAACTGGTGGTAGCATAGCTACTGGTAGGATTTCCCATGCCAGGCAGGTCGCAGCGGAGAGGACAGACAAAAGGTAGCTACCTGGCCCTCCTAGGTTTAAGTTGAGTGGCCGAGCGGTAAGGCAGGGGCGCTGCTAGCTACGGCCTTAACATCGGCGCTGGTTCCAGCTGCTCCTCGCCCATGGTTTGGTTGGTAGAACCAATTCTTCTCGGATAAGGACTTAAAATGAAGGTCCAGTGTATATATCTGGCTCATGTGCACTTTAAAGAAACCATTGCATCTTTCGGAAGAGTAGGGGGTTACCCCGATGTTATGGTTCATTTCAGCTCCTGTCGTTGTGGAATGATGTAAACATGTTTCTACCACGAAGCGCCTAATTACGGCTGCTAGGTAGTCACGAACCACGCCCATACGCAATTCAGCACAATGACGCTGTAAATTATTGGTTAATTCTCCTACCTTTACCTTTCCTTTTAAATAGGGGGTTAGCCAGGAATATAGGTTAATCACATGTACAGTATCCGTAAAAAAGCATTGATTACAGAAGCCAATAATGTAATATACAGAAGAAAAACCCGGCGGAAGTGCAGTGGCGTGCCAGAACACAGATGAAAATGACATCAAATTCGTGGAAGATCCAAGCAAAACGAAGTGTACAACAAGGAGGAAAAAAGTGGAGCAGGAGAGGACAGAAATGGAGTGGAGATCTTGGAAAGCAGCAGACGAAACAGCAAGAGACCGGGATAAATGGAGAGATTATGTTATGGCCTTATGTGCCTCATGGCACGAAGAGGATAGGTAAGGTGAGGTGATTCTTACACACTGATTCAACCTTCTCAATGGCTCGGTAGGCTTTCCAATCCAAAAAATTTATTACGGCGTGAATGGAGCATTAAATAGGTGAGAATCTTACCTTTGCTACACTTGGTTTCTCGAATGGTGGACTGCCAAGAGGCCCTTCAACAGACGGCTTACTCATCTGTAGAATACACTTTCGTAAAAGCTGTAATGAATAATAATACATTTTATTACATCATGCAATTTACAGCTTTGTGTTCTGTACCAATAATGTAACCATCTTGCAATTTCATTCCCATTGTGTGTTAAGCTCTGGCGACTATCAAATTTTCTTTGACAAAAAACTGTTGTATGCCCATATATAGTCATGATGTGATGTCATCATGACCATATTTAGGCATGTCACATGTTGGTCAAATAAAAATGTGGACATTTTAAAATTTGGGGGGAGGATCATACAACCTTCCTGACCCCCCCCCCTGCATACACTCATGCATTTTTATCCCACAAACACATGTTTTAGCACATATGTTTACATTCTCATTTTGTTTTACCTTAGTAACAATATCCAAGGGGTGGAGCTTAGTGGAAATGTCCATTCCTCAATGGGTAGTCATCGTGGGGCTCTCTGCAGCGAATCTGCATTGCTGCCTTAGGGTACACAATTGTTGACATTCCACTTATATGAAATGTTTACATTTTAAGGATACAAATTGAACTCTTCTTTGTCATCTCAAGAAGGGACTTTGAACCCATTCATCCATTTGTAAATAAGATCATGCAGCAATTGTAGAGCAAATTACTATGGTACAAAGTATCTGTATGGGATATTTCCTTTGGTCATGCACAGTAGCAGAGATTTCATGGGGGATTGGTACATCTCCTCCCCTACCAAAGACTATTTGTGTGAGATTTGTTTTCAATTTTAAGGGTCAGTTGAGTAGGTCTAAAAAGATGACAATTTACATCATATCTGCCATAGTGTAGTTTAACTTACATTGAGCCTATAATACTGACGCATTATTTTTGTCAGATTTTCTACTCGGAAATCTATTAAATTGGTCATCTAGTCCACTAGAATGCATGAGATCAGGGGCAATTAATTTATGATGACTGATCATAAATTCGCAAATCTTAAAACCACTGCACCTCTTCATCTTGGTCAAAATTAATCCAATGCGATGTGAACAAGTCTTTAGTGTAGCAATATAATTATGGTTTATCTTGTATTTGGGAAGTCACTCACTATAAAATCATAAATGCAAGACATTACTAATTCTAAAATAAAAATAATGTATGATGGCTATTAAGATAATGATCCACTGAGAATCATCTTTCATCAACTACTATCTATAGTATCTGAAGATTACATGGGGAACTAGAGATTTGCTGGTTCTTGTGCCTGTGTTGTGTTCTACAATTATGGGCGGCTTGTCCAGTGGCAGAGGGCAGTGTGAGCTGGAAATTCTGACATTGAAATTAGACAACCATGTTTTATGTTTGATGGTGTAATTCCCTTTTCTTCATACAAACTTACATTGTATTATATATACTTTTAGCAGCATTTTTGGAGGAAATAAGTCTTCTTCAGACTTTCGTGGGTTATCCTTAGCATTTACACTGAATACATCCAATCCAATCCAATATACCATTTTATAAGATCGAATGTATGAGTAGCAGGAGGTCATGTGATCCACCTAAATGCATGTTGACTAATAATCAAGGGTTTGATCTTTGAACACCATAAGTATTATACAAAATGCTCAGGGCACAAGATTATTATAATTTAAAATGTTTTTTTTTTTAATATGAAAGATTTAAAAATATTTTTATGGTAAGGCAAAACTTTTGTATACCTTGTTTACAAAACCCGCCGCCATCCAATAATAATCATTTTGAATAAAAATAAAATCTTATTTTTGGCCAATTAGTGCACCCACAGCTATAAAAAAGTTTTTCTTTATTATTATTATTATGCCCGCCGCTGCCTTGAAATCTCCAAAAATAAGATATGTATATTTCCTCCTACACGTAATTATATATTGCACATAACTATCCCATTACTACATTGTTTACATTCACCAATAAAACTATTTTTATTTTCTCTTCTGTCTGATTGTTTTTGGCAAAACTCCTTGCTAAATGAGAAAACAAATTTGTATTTTTATTTTTTTTTTACTCTCTTCTGACAATCTTTAAAAAAATAAGTTTGTGAATACAAGGTATAAAAAAAGCCTCCCCCAATAATATATGTATTTTCATCCTCTTTTCATAATTGTCAATATTATTCAACTAAAAAAAATTTGTTAGGATGATTAAAACTAGGATGCTGCATTTGACCCGGGTGTTATTTATATACAGTAGTAACACCCTGAATGGACAATGCACATGTGTGATGTGTGACATTAAAATAAAATATAAATCAGGAAAAAAAAAAAAAAACTCTCTTCTACATCAGCTTTTAAGAGATGGCCAGATGGTAGCACTCAAATCGAGCCACAGAAATTATAATTATAAATATTGCGTGAATTGATTAATTACAATAAAAATAATTATAATGATCATAACAATAGATTATATTCAAACATTCTCTGTACAGCTGGTTCCCTGTGTTGTTAAACAGTATACTGTATATGTTAATTATTTAGTATATTTTATTATTTATATTATATTTTTAAAATAAAAAAAAAACTCTCTTTTACATCAGCTTTTAAGAGATGGCCAGTTGGTGGCACTCAAATTGAGCCACGGAAATTATAATTATAAATATTGCGTGAATTTATTAATTACAATATTAATTATAATGATCATAACAATACATTATATTCAAATATTCTGTGTACAGCCGGTTCCCTGTGTTGTAAAGCAGTATGCAATTTAATTATTTAGTATAATTTTATTTTATTATTTATATTATATTTTAAAAATTAATAATTATTATCATACACAGATTGAAGTCATTCTACTGTAGTAAACATAAGGTTCAGAATTTAGACCTAACTTTTTATTTAATTAGTAATAGAAATAGTAGACAGATGTACTGTAAATGTTCTTTATTCGGAGTAACGTTTGTTCTATGCTAAATGTAAATGTCAACTGACATTAGGATTAGTTAACGACAGCACATCTTACCCACATACAGTGGTAAAAATATGCAAATAGGAGAAGTACACAATATGTACAGGACAATTAACTTCTATTTAAATTATCCTTTTTTATAATTTGTATTTATTTTTTACTTACTAATTATGCGAAACAGTAAAATAAACCTACTTTCACCCTCTAATTTGAGACCACCTTTGGGTCCTAACAATTTTGATTGGTCATAGAGTCTCAAAATAGAATGTTATCTTTGTGTTCAAAGATTGAAGAAAGTTAGCTGGCAATTTGAAAAAAGTGGTCCCAAATTAGAGGCATACTCAGAATTAGAAAGTACAATGTATGATTTATTTATAATGGAACATAGATATTTTGCGATATACAGTGGTGCAAGCCTAACTCTATAGACTAGTAGTATTAAAATTATGAACATTTTTAGATAAGCATGCCAAATTGTTTTACAATATCGCCAGTTACAAGTGTCGTAAAATTTAGTGTGTAAATACATTCCCATTCCCATTTTCCATTCGATTGTGTCTTCTTTAACTGTGTTTGAAATGTCTGTTCCTATAGACAGTATTACTAAAATAATCGCTAAAATTTTCACAATCAAGATTTGGATGAATATTGTTTGAATTTTTGTTTATTCTTTTCATCCTACAAACGTTTGGGATTATGTTATTTGTTTTTACAACTGATGAATAATCTGATTTGGATTTTATTTGTGCATTTGTTTTTAAGTGAACGATTATTATAAGGTGTTTGTTGGATAAGTGTTTAATATGATTAGAGTAATACATAATCTATGAAATCAGGTGTGATCCTTTTTATTTTATAAGTAATAAAACTATTATTCAAGATAATTTTTGCCATTGTTCAATTTGTTAATTTGATAAAAAACATCAATTCAATAAATATCGCCAATGTGCTTTTTTTCTTTTGGTTGTAAGAAATAGAAATGCTTATCATTACAGTCAGTCCAACCAACAGCCGGTTCTTCAAAGATGCCCTCTGAGAACATCTAAAACTTTTTTTAAAATTAAAAAATCCAAATATTTATTGTCAAAATATTATAAAAATTGGAAGAAACCTGCTCCAAAACCAATCCATCGGTGGTACACATATTACTGCGCGAAGGGCCCCGACTGTACTCTTGAACCAGGGCCCCTCTAGCTACACCACTGACTGCTTACATTTAAATTCGTTCCTTGCGTCTTTGAAATAGGTCTAGTAGGCCTCTATAATAGGGTCCATTGTTTCAAGGAATTCCTTAATTTTTCATACATAATATTAAATTTGAAGTGACTAATATACCTTGTTTTAGGAATGTCAGTTACCACTTGTCAACAAACTACGATTGGGCGAGCGTTTGCCCTCTCTTTCAACACATTCATGCATTGTAGTTCGAGGTGTAAAAACACTAGCCTAGAATTCATCGCGATGCACGAAAAAAGATTAAGCAAACTGTGCAATAATGAAAAATTAGTGAACGATTGGGATAGGAAAATAACATTGGGAGCCTGATTGAGAGTTGCAATGGTGACGACACGATTGACTTTTAACATATATTCTTTATGTTATATAAACTCTAAAGAGACGAGAGAGAAATTACTGTACTATCTATACATATTATTAACACAAGCTATCATGTTTCATAATTACATAGCGTAAAATGAGTGAAAGCATGAATCAGATCATGTCCATTTACTAAGGGATGTGTGAATACATTCAGCTAGCAGCAACATCACTACTGCCATTAGAATGGAAAATCTCTCTCTGTATGTTTTTGCTTGTCATTAAACTACTAGAAAGTGATTTTGTTCTCATGTCCAAAAACAAATCCACTTCCTACGCCTTATAATTAGACATGGTTTGTTCAAAGCATTAAATGTGGCAAAGACAAGCCAAACCAGTCACTCGTCGCAAATCCTGTTTCAGAGATATTGGCCAAAACATTCTGGAAGGTCAACATTTTTGAAATCTATTTTATTCACTAAAATAGCCTTCAAGTACACACTGTATATATCATGTTGTGCTGTTATTTTCCACATTTTCAATATTAAACAACAATTTTTAATGATTTGGTAATGGTTTCTACCTAAGAAATGCCCAAAATCATAAACTTTCAAGGAAATTTCCCAAATATTGTTCTTTAAACAGCTGTTTTAACTCCTGTAACTTCATAACAAAATGTCGAATTTAAAGAATTCTTTTACCATTTTTTAAATAGCTCTCATTTTACTGTTTAATCCTGTGTTAACAACTAAACATTGATTTTTGCGACAAGTGACTGATTCGGCTTGTTGTTTGTCTTGTGAACCGGATTGCCTATAGTTATTATTAAATGTATATTCACTATTGACAATCCTTAACAGAATGACTATATTAAAACTAAAGAATTTGGAAGGCAATCATCTTAACCACAAAGTAAAATTTCCACACATCATATACCATTTAATCAAAAAAGACACAAGTCAACTTTACTCTCAAAAATGATCTTTAAATGCAGCAGGTCTATCAGTAACTCTATATCATAATAAATCAATATCATTAACATTATTAGCATATTCAATACCATTATCGTCAGATTTTCGTAATCATCATTGTTTTCATCTTCGCATAATTTGTCATTATCATCTTCATGACATCTTCAGCACCCTTGATCATCATGATATTAGGGACCCCTCAGGATTCTATTCAATTCAATTCAATTTATTCCGAAAAACAACATACAGTACAAGGAAAAAGCAGACACACAAAGCAAACTAAAATGTCACAAATGCTGGCCCAGGGGATTCTAACAGTGATCCTAATCACTTTCGGAAGGATGTCCCAACCAGCATAAAATTGTAAATTTAGAGGGTTTCTCATACCACATGATCTTACTCATTGTTATATAATGTCGTTTTCAAATTGTTCTGTGTTTCATGTATGATATCGCAATAAATCAAATCAAATCACCATTAACGCATCATTTACCATTATCAATTTTATATCTGGTTAACTAACCACAGAATCATACTTTATGAAAACACTTACATTTGATGAGTTATTATTCTTGATTATTTCCACTAACCTTAAAAAGATAATAATAGACTTGTTTAGTATCAGCATCCTCCTCGCGATGAACACATAGGAACAGGTTCTCCACATCAACAACAATTAGAAGCAAGCGATTAATTTCCTCCTCATCCACGTTCTCCAAATGAGAAACATGCGATGCTGGGAAAAGCAAGAGTAAAGGTAAATTATTTTATACATTTATTTTTATCTATAATACATTTAGTAAATAACTTTCATTGTGGATATTAAGCACTTTTTTATTTAAATTAAAATGTGTTTTTTTTAATTGTATTGTTTTTTTTATATAATTATTTTATTTATTTTAAATTTATTGATAATTATGAATACTGTATTGTTTTTTGTTTATTGTATATTTTATGTTTTCTATACTGTATACAGTATTCTTGACAGTTTTAAAGTTGTTATGTTTTAATGTGACTGAATTGAAAATTGTTCTGTTTATCATATTTTTTGGGTTTTTTTAATAATGGTTTTAACATATTATTATAAATGTTGATTTTTATGCTTTTAATCATATTTTTGATGTTTTCTATACTGTATATTCATGGTAGTTTTCAATTTTTTACTTAATGTTTTTAATGTGACTGAACTGTAGATTGGTAGTATAATTCAGCTCTTTGGCTGTTATTGTACAAATGATGAATAAATAAATAATAATTATTATTTATTTTTACCTAAAGGATGTGAGCAGCTTCTGCAGGGATCGTCAAGGTTAGCAAGAGCTGTAGCACTGTCAAGTCTGCTAGGCTGTGATGAGGCTGGAAGTGGGTTGGGATTCTTCCAGCCATTGCACTTACAAGGTTCCTCTGCCTGGATATAAAAAAAAATGAAAATTCAGTACTGTACATTGTTGAAAACATAATTACCACATGTTAACATTTCTGACACCAGATAACATTCTTCAAATCATCAAATTAATTAAAGATGTACTTTCTGTCAGACGAAAACTGAAAATCATACATATTTACCGGGAAAGTAATTTGCAATTAAAAAGTTGCAAAAATCTATCTCTGACAATTTTTGGGCCGAATTTATCACTGAGTGGTTGTACAAACCTGCTATTGACTATGCCGAGAAGTTGATGTTATATAGATTTTATATATTATACTGTAAGTCATTATTTTAGTAACTTCTTGCTTATTGACAACGAAAGAGGAATTGACGATATACTATTATGGCAATCAAACCAGTAATTTTCTGAGCAAAGATAAGGCACAGTTAAATAAACCAATGACTATAGGCCTATAATACGTCAGTATATTTTATAAATATATTATATTAAAGCAAATCGAAATCAGTTAAAAACTTTACAAATGCAAAAAAAACACTTTAATTTCATCATGTGATTCAACATTTTGCTTATTGTTAATTCTTTTGTGGTGTTCAAATCATATTTTTTTGTACTGTAACTGATACAGTATTTTCTTTTGAACGAAACCCCACCATGTAAAGAGAGTGTACCACGATATAAAAATGTTTGTTCAGTAAATAATTTATTCCTGCTAGCCTATTAACTGTCAATAATGTTTACTCGGACCAATCTGCGCATGCTCATTAGATCGGCGTTAAGCGCTGTAAATTATACTTACACCTCAGCGTAATGCCTTTGCTCTTGCTACTGTAGGCCCTATGATATGTGTTCCGAATGCTAGCGAAGTATTTAATTCAAGTTATGAAAGTCCAAGCTGGACTTTAGTATACAATACCGACAGAACACTGTCACTGATTGTCACCTACGAAAATTCATATATAATATGAATGTCATAGACGATCAATTTGGATCGAAGGTCTAATGTCTGTCCAACAATGTACACAACAAAAAGAATTACAAACTTTTAAATTTAACAAATAAATAAATCTTTATTTCAAAAATAATAGGTCTTCTTTTAAAACAATAAACAACACAATACAAACAATACAAACATAGAAAACATTAAATATTAAATATCAAATTCGCAACCAATGCTTTTAATTCTAATCATAACATTACTTAGCAATAATTAATTTATAATGAAATATTGGCTATCCAAATCTTAAAGATTATCTTCGTGGATAGCCATAGCAAATAACTACCAGTTTAATTAATATATTATAACATTATTGGAGTAAATAGTAATGACGAATACTACGTCTCTATTTAATCACTGTTCCCGCTTAAACACGTCTGTCTTGATAATGCGTTGAATATCCACCATCATTCTTGATAGGTATAACTGTTTACGATACTCTACACTTCATCATTGGTTTCTACTTGAAAAATTCCATACAATAGCACAGTAGCTCCCAAATATTAGGTTGAAAGTTAGGGGACACTGTATTAAAGCAAACATGCATAAAACGAGTATGTCTTATAAATAATCACGTTATATAGGCCTATATGCACATGCAGCATATATGCATATAAACACACGTCATATGTACACATATATTATATGTGTATAAATACACACACATATATCTGTATACATATGTATATACATACAATTATACTCACATAATACACATATTACATATTGTACCTATATATCAACAGTAGGTTTAAAGATTATAATTTAATTATCCATACATTCACATTTACTGATATTTAATTTATAATCAACTTTAAACATCCGTAAGCATAGCAATACTTTCAATTACTGTTTAAATACTCACAATGTCCACTACCGTACTGAAGGTTAACATAGACGAGCTCCACCACGTTCAGCTGCGAGCCTTGTCGGAGTTTCTATCCTAACTCGCCCCATTCCGTCGGTTTATAACTGAACAAAAAAACTTTATCACGGTTCTACCAACTGTGTATAAATTCACAAAGGCCAGGCTTATACAGTATCGTGCGTCCAATGCACACTGCGCCCCATGATAAGCTTACAATAAAACTGCTCGTCTCATGAACCTCACAGAATTGGCTGTGGGTTGACTCAATCGTATGATAGTAAATTTGAGAGTAATTCGAAATCTCGCGCTAGTCATTTTATATGACCGGCTGGCAACGGATTTACGCTTTATGCAAATTTAGTAACCATACAATCACCTTTTTGTCAATGACTAACAACTTGTTATTCACTAAGTGGATTAGCATATTATTTAAATATTAGGGCAACACGCATATGGTAGGGAAAAATATAAGTTCTAATGTGACACTGACAGGAATACAGTAAGTCTAATTAGGCCTAGCCTAGGCCTAGCCTATGCCTAGTCCTTACCTTAGTGATTCTTACCTTAGGCTATGTTCACACACACGGCGTAAGACTGGCATAGCTTATGCCAGGCGTAAGCTAATTTACAGATTAAAATTCCAAAGTGTTCACACAAACGGCGTTCGCTATATTAAACGCTGGCGTTAAACTAGTAGTAATATATGCCTATGGGGGAATAGTTTTAAGTTTTAAATAATGTATGGGTTCTTAACTGTAGTAAAATTAACAGTGCATCAGTAAAACTTTTAAATCTGTGAATTGTTCGAAGTGAACTTATATGATTATTGTATTTTAAATGAACAATTTTGCTTTGATTTTTCAGCTAGCATTGTTGGTGTTGCAGGTTTTAATAGACAGTCTAAATATGTTAAAATATCTTACAAAACACAATCAACAAATCATATACATTATAACTAAGTAAAATGCAATAGAAAAAGAACCCCTTTACCATTTCATCTATAGAGAGCACAGGAAAGAGACCAAAGTAGCTAATATTGCAATCGTGATTGGTCAATCTCTTGAAATGAGGTAAAATCATTCAAGCATCACTGGCGTTAGCTCAGTGGCGTTAGCTAATCTGGGGTCTGCAGGTAACGTTAATAACGCCAAGGACGTGGCGTAGTGAGTGGCTTTAACAACGCCACTGCCTAGTTCACACACAAAGGCGTACGCTACGCTATGCTTAAGCCAGCCTTACGCCGTGTGTGTGAACATAGCCTAAGTGATATAAGGAGGCAATGAGTTAATACTCGTAGAGACTGCCTCTTCCCAATGTTTCCATGTGTCGGTCATAGGAAACTTTGAAGTGGTAAAGTGTTGTGTATGAGACTACATGTTGTGGTAAATTGTTCCATGGTTTGATTACTCTGGTGTCATCAAAGAAAGAGTCTCTAAACACCGTTTTGTTTCGGGGAGTTAAAGGTTTATAAGAATGACCACATGTATGATGAGTCCTAAGTTCAGGATGTGAAATGTTAAAGAAATGCTGAAAGTCAATATTTTCAATCCCATGAATTAGTTTAAAAACCTCAATCATGTCCCCTCAAATCCTCCTGTCTTCAAGTGATGGTAAACCAAGGACACGTAATCTATCCTTTGCAGTTAGATCCTGAAGGTTAGGAACAAGTTTCGTAGCACGATTTTGGACCTTTTCCAAGGCATTAATGTCCATCTGATAGTGTGGAGACCATACCTGTACTGCATATTCCATCAAAGGTCTAACAAGGGTTTTTTTAAAGAGGAATAAACATTTGCTTTCCATATAGGTAAATGTTTTTCTAATTCTACCAACCAAAGAATTAGCTCTAGCAACAACCTTGGTAATATGAGTCGATGGCTTAAGATCTGGAGTTATAATTATTCCAAGATCACGCTGTTCAGTGACAACTGACAGCTCAATGTCCCTAATAAAGTAAGAAAATTTTGGATTTTCTAGAACCAACATGAAGAATATTACACTTAGTCTCATTGAAACTGAGCAACCATTTACTGACTCCATTTCAGAAGCTTATCTATATCCTCTTGAAGAATATCAGCATCATCTGCGAAAACCTTACCAGAACTACTCAAATCTTCTAACAAATCATTGACATAAATAAGAAAAAGGATCGGTCCAAGGACCGACCCCTGTGGTACTCCAGAGGTAATAGAAACCCAAGATGAATAAGTACCTTTCACATTGATACAATGACGACGATTTTAAAAGAAAATCAGATATCTTAAAGCAGTTCAATACCAGGTTTTATGGTACAGTTGCTTTGAGCATAGGAATAAAAAGCTTTAGGGTTTTTTTTAACATAATAGGGCAATCTCCCTTTCAAAAAGATACTTTGCAGTTTGTAGAGCAGAAAATGAGATATTTTGAGCTTTGAAGTATGCTTTGTAATGTGTCTGGGTGCGTCTTTTCATTTAACGTTTCCAGGCCAGGTTTTCGGCTTCAATTTTAGCAAGTACTCTTTTAGCCATCCACTTTTTATTTGACAGTTTTGCAGTTGGTGAAACTTTGAAATGTGGAATAAATTTGGATTTTGCATAATTGTATTTGTCAATAAATATGTTATTTCTTGCATTGACTTCCCTTCTGCTATAGCTGACCAGTCATGAGATGAAAAAAAAGAATTCATTTCAACATAATTACGCCTTTTTCACGAATCGGTAGACATCTTGAAGTGATGACAAACATTGCGAATCAGTGGTGTGTAACCAACAGAAATAAGATAAGCTTTTGGGCTGATTTTCTGACATTATGTTATTTAAAAAATCTCCATAACGGGGCGTCGTATCCAAAAAGTGTTTCCAGGAAAATGTTCTTAAAAGACCAGTCTACACCACTATATGATTGAAAAAAAATTGAAAAATTTTTTTGACCTCTGAAATCAAGATTGAAAAAAGAAAAGCCTATCTTAGTAGTGTATTAAAATAGGCCAATGCATTACAGTGCAGTAGCATAGGACTTTCGAGTTGTTACTGTTCCAAGTAGAGATAATATACATATTTCTCTTATTAAAAAGTACAAGTTATGTTTTATAAAGAAGTATAGTATAGTAAATCATGTTTTTAACACAGGAAACTCTCATATGGTAACTAAAACAATGCTAGTTCAGAGTATTACTAGTACTACAGCACTGTAATGCATATACCTATTTTAATACACTACTGAGATAGGCTTTTCTTTTTTCAATCTTGATTTCAGAGGTCAACAAAATTTTTCAATTTTTTTTCAATCATATAATGGTGTAGACTAGTCTTTTAAGAACATTTTGCTGCAAATTTTTTTTGGATACGACGCCCCGTTATAGAGTTATGATTATTTAAATAACATGATGTCAAAAAATCCGCCCAAAAGCTTATCTTATTTCAGTTGGTTACGCACCGCTGATTCGCAATGTTTGTCATCACTTCAAGATGTCTACTGATTCGTGAAAAAGGCGTATTGCCTTTATTATAGTTATACTTATAACTAAACAATGTGTCTTCAAAGGTGTAGGGGTCTTCAGTGAGAAAGTCAAAACATAAAACTACATGGTCACTAGTAGTACCTATCCTAAAAGTACTAGTCAGCTGTCTTGTACTACTACTACTAGTACTATCTAACCCTACTACTTGCCTAGTACTACAATTATAGTCAGGCTGAACCTGGTTAGAAGTTGGGTTAAGGATGCTTGGGCCCAGCTAGTAATATAGTAAAGTAGGCCTAGCTAGGCTAGATCTAGACCCTAGCTAGGCTAGGCCTAGACTAGGAGGAGGCCTCAGGCCTAGTTAGGAGGCTAGCATAGGCCTAAATTAATTAATAAATATACAACAAAGTCAACCTTGCAAGAAGAATACACCCCAAGTTTTTCTAGTTTCTTGGTTTTCGGATAGTTCTTGACGAGAGCTTTACGCTGCGAAATTCTTTGAAGATTCATTGGGCGACTTATTTCGCTAGGATTTAATAGGACAGCAGATGGACGTCTTTGAGCCGACAAAGATGCTGGCGATTCCTTGCTAGTGCTTTTGCTGCCTCCAGGTGGCACGTTAGCCATTGTTTTGGAGCTTTAAAGTCCTTCCCTTTACGCCGGTTAACTCATCCACGAAAGCGTATTCTCTTTGTTTAGGGTGGGCCTAGCCTTAATTTTCCAGACGGTTGCGTAAACCACAACACAGGTCGGAAGTCTAATCAGGAATCAGCAAAGTGGTAAGCCTTTGAAGGAAGGGAGGCGGTTTCATAACTAATATTTTTACTATTGGATAAAGTAATTGGAATTCGTGGGCCTACTTACATAATATATTCTCTCTGCCTTTTTATCCTTATATTCCCGT